GGCACACAGGCTGGTCTTAGGGATCAGCTGCACATTTTTGTTACGATATCAGCAATTTCACATTTGACTTTAAGAACTCTTTGGTGGATGCCGGTTGGACCCAGTGATTTGCCCACTTTTAATTTGTCAATAAGCACTAGAACTTGTCATTTATATTAGCCTCAGTTCCCCAGACTCCCTTCCTGTGAAAGTTGACAGTTCAGGCTCTGGGATCTCCCCTATATTCTCCATTGCGAAGGCAGATGCAAAAAAATTCGCTCAGCTTCTCTGCAATCTCCTTTTACTCCTTTAGCACCCCTTTGACTCCCTTGTCATCCAAGACTCAAACTGCCTCCCTAGCTAGTTTTGGGCTGGGCTAGAAGCTAAGCCAGATCACTGTTTTGGTCTGATCCAGAAATGCAAAGGGCTTAGCCACACTTCCTCTCATCCCTCTGCAAGTGGTGGGGCTGCAACTGTTGCGCTCAGCTCCTGCCTGTGGACTTCCTCCTGGAGCATTTGGCTGGCCACTGGGCTAGACCTGCCTCCTTTGGCCTGACCCAGCTGGCGTAGGGCTTATGAAAGCATTACAAGAGGCATGTGGGGAGCCTCCTGCCTGTGAGCCAAATTTGGTCCATGAGGCCATTTCCTCCAAACTGCACACCCCCCCCCACTATCCAGGTGTGGGGAAGGGAGAGGTGCAGCTGGGTCACCTGCCTGGCTGAATTACCTGTGGGGAAACTCAATGGTGCTGCTGATCCTTGTGACAAGCAGGGCTGAAGTTACTGCCCACCAGCTCAACGCTGCTGGATTGGCAGGGTGACTTGGGAGCCCAAGTGCACAGCTAGCCCCACCTGCTGTGGCTCCCAAGGGCCTGACCCCCAGTCGGCTGCCAGGCACTTGCAAAGCCCAGGGCAAAGGGCTTTGGGCCGGTGGGACAACCCACCTTTCCATCCTCCACTGTCATCATGATGTCAGGTGACTGACTGCTAAAGCTGGGTTGCTGTGTCAAAAACAGTCCCTTGCCCCATGTTTCAATAAAATCTCCTGGCTGGGACTGGCTGAGCCAAGGCACCCCCTCTCCCTTGCTTGCAGACTCATGCCAAGGGCCGGTAGAGAGCTGGGGTTCAGCACCCCTGGCAGTGAGCACAGTGGCTGGTGGGGTTGACAGAATTGCCTCCCAGGCCACAGATTTCCACTTTTTATCCTCTGTCCAAGCAAAGCAAGTTTCAGCAACATTTTTATACTGCTAATTGCTTCCACTGCTACATTTTAAATGCATGCAGTTCCATTAACTGTGGGCAGGAGGGACCAGCTAACCTTTCAAAGGGTATTTTTATCCACTCTCCAAATGGCATAGGCAGGGCTCACCCCCAGAACTTGTTTTGCCTGTTGGCCCCTAGTGCTAGCGTGGAGGAAGCCACAGTGTCTCTGAGGATGTGCAGAATCCTCTTTCCTCACCACAGGGTAAGCATGGGGGAGGAGGTTAACAGGTTGCAGAGAGCTGGACTGGGCACCTTTTCCAAATCAGGCTTTGCAGGTAGAGGGTGAAAGCAGTTGGGGAAATAGCTGTGCAAAGGTATGTCCAATTTCACCAATGTGTGCAGAGGGGATGCTGGGAGTGCCTGGTGCCAGGAAAGAACAGGAGGTGGGGGACTAGTCAGGTGACATGTGCAGGGAATGGAGGGGCACTGGAAAGATTCCCAAGCCCCACCCCCTTTGAGAAGAGGAGTGAGGCATGCTAGTGGTACCTTGTGGAGCTCCACCCCTTGTTCCTCGTTAGCTCCTGGGGGCGGAGTTTTTGCCTGGAAGATCTCCCAGCCTTCATCATGGAGCCAGGAGTCTTCATCCAGGCTGGAGCTGCTCCCTTCTGAGGAGAGGTTGCAAAATTTGGGACTTCTTAGTTCAGAGGGAAAAGACAAGCAGGTGTATAAAATCATGCACCTTGTGGAGAAAGGGGCTGTGGAGATGTTTTATATGAAACCATAGGGCCATCCATGCAGCCAAATGTTAGAAGATACAGGACAGATGGGTGGGAGGGAGGGACCACTTGACACGGTGCTGCTCCCACAAGATCTAGGAACACCTTTAAAGCAGAATCAGGGAGAAGGTGGCCAATGGCACACAACACACAAGGGCTGTTTTCCCCCTCCACTGTCAGGAGGTGGTGGACTCTCCTTCCCTGAAGGATTTTAAACACAGGTTGGATGGCCATCTGTGAAGGATTCTTTAGCTGCGGTTCCTGCATTGAAGAGGGTTGGGCTAGATGACCCTTGGGGTCCCTTCCAACACTACAGTTCTATGATTCTAATGCCAGTTGCTGGGAATCACAAGTGAGGAGAGCAGTGCTGCTGGTGCCCTCGGGTCCTGCTTGTGCGCTTCTCATGGGGCATCTGGATGGCCACTATGAAAACAGGCTGCTTAATGGCCATGGGGTGAGGAGCAGGAGGACTTCACGGGGCTTCCAGTCCTCAGTGCATGATCTGGCCTGAGGGGAGGACCTGAAGCTCCTCCCCCCACCTCTTGCTTGGGCTCCAAGACCAGGCTAGATGTCCACTGGGTGGCCCTTGTAGCGCATGGCTCCCTGAAGTGCTGAACTGGCCAGCCCACCATCTTGCCAGAGCATCCCCAAGTCTTGCACATCACCAAATGCTTTCCATTTAAATGCAAATTTTGACTTTTTCCCTCTGTGGTGCGGGAGAATTTTTCACACTGGAATGAGGGTCATGATAATAATTTATCCACAGGCCTCTTTCTACAATTACTGTTTGTACAAGGAAAGTGTTTATCCTTCCGCAGTCAGACACAGGGTGCTCACTGAAGCCACCTGGGCAAGGAGCCAAGACCCTCACTGATGCCTCCAGAACAGGAGAAGCCCATGGAAGGGATGGAAGAGGTGCCTGCAGGGGGTGGAGCTTTGGGCTGCCGGCTGAGCCCCACCAGCTGAGGAGCAGAGCGCTTTGGTGGGACGGGCACCTTCTCCTGGCAGAAGGCTTGAGGAGAGCTCCTTGGCTGAACTCCATAGTTCACAGAAGAATCGGCAGGGAGGGGGTCCTTAAAAAGGGACAAATGTATTGTGGTTGAGAAAGCTTTGATGGTTGTGTCACCTCTCCCTCTTCATGATGTTGCTGTTGTTTAAAATTGAGCTTCCAGTCCTTCCGAAGGTCACCAGCCCTTGAGGTTATAGGTCTCCTCTCTTGCCTTGCAGGGGACTCCCAGCTTGCTCAAGGGACTCAAGTCAACCCCAAACACCTGGTGGGGCTTCAGCCAGTCGTGTTTCACAGGAGTCCATGCTGAACCACCGCCCCCCCCCCAGAGGCCTTACATGTGAGCAAACTCCAATACAGACTCTAACTGAATTTATTTATTTGCTTATTTGAGGTATTTTTCTTTTTTTCTCTTGAAGCAATACCCTGTGTGCATTGTGGCAGTATTTATTCTATTATTTCATTTATTACATTTATATACCACCTTTATCTTCCAAGGAGCTGAAGGTGGTGGAAAGGATTGTCATTGTTGCTGCTGTTTCAGATGTACTCTTGATGGGTCTCTGCTCCTATAGTTTCTCTCCCCCCCCCCCTTGTTGATAGGCAACTGAGGCTGACACAAAGGCTCATGGCTCAATGGCACAGCGCCTACCTTGCCAGCAAAGGTCTCGACTTCAATCCCCAGATGGCATCTCCAGGTAGGGCTGGGAGAGACCCCCCTGCCTGACACCCTGGCAGCCCTGCTGCCAACCAGTGAAGGCAGAACTGCCTGGGATAGACAGGGGACTGACCAGGCCACAAGGCAACTTCTGGTGTCCCTAAAGTCACTCATCCAAGAGCCGCAAATGCCCTCTCTGCTCAAATCCATGCTCTAGCCACTGTGCCACACTGCCTCCCTGTAGGGAGGTCACAGAGGGCACCCGCTTCCAGGGTTCTGCTCCCTGGTATGGCCAGCCATACACCCTCCTGGCCTTTGTGACTCTACCCCCCCCCCCCGGAGCCTGAAGCAGGAGGGAGAGAACTGGGGGCTGAGGTCACCTCCCTTCCTCTAATGGGAATTAATCTGAGTTCAGTCTTAATTGTGAGGATTTTCTGTTAACTAAGCAAGAAATCTTATAACAACACAATAAGGTGCCATTTCACAGCCTCCAAATGGAGCAATAAGCTGGAGCCTCATTTACATGCCATTTCGCCACCACCGCAATTGCTGACGCAGCGCCTTTTAATGTATTCACATTGGCAGGCGCATTTGCGTCAAGATGCAATTATGAGTTAGGCGCTCCCTCCCCCCAAGCTCTAGGAAGAAGGGAGGCTCAAACTGGGCTTGGGGGTACCTTCCTGGCCCATCACACACACACGTGTGTGTGTGTGTGTGTGTGTGTGTGTGTGTGTAGGAGGGGGGTCCAATTAAGGAGGCAAGAAATTCAAGTTTTCCCTGGGAGGGGGATGGACAGGAGCCCATCCAGCCAAAGCAGCTGAAGGTGTCCAGAAGATGGGAGTGTCCTAACATCTTCCTTCAGTGAAGAAAGACCATAGAGCTGAGGGGAGTGGGGTTCAATTCAGCTGGAGAACAGCATCACAGAAGGACATAAAATCCTGAGTAATGGTGCCCCAAAATCCAGCATCATCCATTGATTGGAAAGGTGGCAGGTTTTGGATAAACCAAAGATATTTCTTCTCACCATGCATGATCAGCTGGTGGAACTGATGGCCACAGGATAAATGCATGGAGGAAGGATAAATGCATGGAGGAAGAAGACAGGTCTGCCCATGGGCGTGAGTGCAAGAGAGAAAGTTGGAAGATGGGGGGCTGCCTCTGATGTCCAGAAGTGGGGAGCAGAGAGTGCCATTGTGGCCAGACTCCTCTGCCTCTGGTTCATCTGCTGTCCAAAGCCTGCATGACGAAGGAGACAGAGCCCAGTGAGCCCCAGCCTGACTCCCTGCTACCCATGAAAAGCACTCGCCCTCCGAGGCCTCCATCATGGTGGGGCACTGCGGAGGCACCCTCCTCACCCTTTCTGTGGGCTCCCTCCCCCCCCGCCCCCTCCAGCACTAGGACAGGTCAGTGAGAGCCTGGAAAGGAAAGCTTTGCCATCTGAACCCGGGAAGAGCTGGCGGAGGGGAGCTGCAGGAAGGTGGTCAGGGGAGCGACAGGACTGGGAGAGGCTGATAAGGGGAGCTTCGGAGGGAGAAGAAGGGTGCCTTGTCTATCAGCCCATTAAAGGCTATTCTTACAAGTTCTTCTCCCCCCCCCTTCATTAATACGCAGGGTGAATAGAACATTGAATAAAGATCAGTACTTAGTGCACAATTGTCAGATTGAAAGGTAACTGTCAACAGAAGGAAAGAGGTTACAAAAGGGCCCATTGCCGTGCTTAGCAAATGGGTTTCAGGCTGTCATCTCAATGGGCCCCTGTTTCGCAGAGATTGTGCTTCCCTGAATAGCATTTTATTACCGGCCTTTCTTTTTCTCTCTCTCCTCTCCATCAACCCCCCCCCTCCAAACCACGTTGTGTCTTTGCAGGCGCTATTCACATAAGATGGGGTGATCCTTTTCATTTGCCAGAGGGACCCTGCTTTAGAAACCGTGGTTTGTCCTAGAGAAGAAAAAGCCCCCCTGGCAGTCAGAGGCCGAAAGGGGGCAGACCCAGCCCCTCTGCTGGGACCACAGAGGAGGGAGCCCCACAGAAGAGCCTCACATTGGGGCAGGAATACTCAGCAGCACAGATTCCCCCCCCCCCCGCAAAAAAAAAATAAATCTAGGATGGTGGAGTCTGTTTCTTTCTTTTGGGAGTGCATCTTTCAGGACAGGGTTTTCAGCACACCCCAAATGCTCTGAATTCTCTCGGGGTCCATTTTTAAGTCTCCCAGGCCTCAATAGTGCTGTGGGTGAAATGGGATTGTAAAAAAGAGCCCAGCATGATATAATTAAAAATGGGGGAGGGGGCAGTCCTGCCCAACTAAATAAGGCCTATTCCATCTCACTGTCAATAGAAGCCTTCCGAGGGGGCTTCTCTCCTTCCATGGGACTGAAGCCCTTTTGCATGTGGTCCCTCTCCTATTTTGTAGCTGGCTGCTTCTTTTTTGAGCATGTGGGGCGGTGGGGGGGGGCGTGGTGGAATCAGTGGAGTTATGTCTGGAGCTCCTCTCTGTGGAAAGAGCATGTTAAAAGCCTCCGGGAGGTGTGTTTGGGGTAAGTGTGGAGGTCCTGGGGGAAGGTCTGAGAGAGATGCTGACACTCCTCAGGCGTTGAGCTGATCGGTTTCCTGCCGGGGAAGAGAGAAAATATATATTCATCATGACTAGCATAACGTGTTGTTACGAATTTTAAAACCTGACCCTCATTCCCAGACTTGAGGCTTCAGAACATTTGCTGGATGTTGATGTGCATGTGAAATGTCATGGTGAAGGGGTCCATGTCCCAAAGCCCCCCCCCCCCCAAGGCTTGAGCCTTGCAGGGGGAATGCCGGCATCTGCATCCTGCCCAGGATGGCCCCTCTGCACGGACTCTGCAGTGGTGCTCTGGGGTCCCCCACCCCCTCGCCCCTGCTTTCCTCTTCCTTCCTTCCCACAACGCTCTGACCATGTGGCTCAGAGGTGCCGCTGCTTCCTGCCATCGCCCACCCAGGACTTCCAGAGGGCCTGGTTGGCATCTCTCCCTTTGGAGAGGGCTGCTGAATTGGGAGCACATGATGTGCTCATCCCAAAGTCAGGGGGCTGTGTCCTGCCAGGCTGGCATTCTCCTTACCCACCAACACAGAATTCCAGCTAAAGCCCAGGGGGCTCCAGAGAAACTGGCACACTCTAATTATAGGCTGAGTATTATTTTGGGATTGTCACTCGCTCCTTCTGCAGCTGTTGCTGGGGAGGGAGGAAAGGAAGGAAGGGGAATGGCACAGCTTTGACCCTCCCACACAAGCCAACCTTGATAAAACCACAGAAAGGGGGGATCACTCTGCCCTATTCCTGGGGGCCTGGAAGTTGTCGAGAGAGTTGTAAAGTTGAGAGACAGGGTGCTTCCGCCTTCAGCAGCCGCTGCCCCACCCTTCCTTCTGCTTTGGATGAGCAAGATGCATGTCTTGATTTCCCGATACAGTTGCAGGGGGGGTGGGGTGTCCCTACCTCCCTGAGGCACCCTCCCAACAGCAGAAGCCATCCAGACGGGCAGTTCGCTGGAGTAAAGTTCCAAGCAGTCCCACCCCCTTGAGCTGGGGGGGGGGGGCGAGCAGAGCTCCTTACCTAGGGCTGCCATACGCCTGGATTTTCCCAGACATTACTGGGATTGTAAAGGCGGAATGGACGTCCAGGGCAGAAATTGAAAAATTGCTGCACTTGCTGGAATTCAGAGCCTGAATTGCTCCTCCATGGAAAATCTGGGCATTTGACCTTGTCGCTCAAATGGCAGGGAGAGTCCTTGCTGATGGCCCCTCAGAGGACTGGAGAAAGAGAGAGAGAGAGTCAATGGGTGAGGGGGGGCTGTGAAACCAGGCAGGAGCAGGAGAGGAGGGCAGCCTCTGCTTTCGGTAGTGGTTGTAGTGGGAACTTCTGGGCTTCCTCCCAGGAGAGAACATAGGTGTCCCAGGAAAAGGATTTGTCTGAATGGCTCACTGGAAACACTCAGGAATTTGCTTGCCAAGCCAAGCCCCACCCCACCCCACTTGTAAGGAGAGGGGAGCTGCTGGGCCTGTGACAAAGGATGCAGAGAAGCCACTACTGGAAGTCACGTTACTGTTCCCCGTTTCTTCCTGAGAAAGAGTTCTGTGTAATCCAGGATAGAAGCTTTCTGCCATGCTTAGTTTCCAAGACCAGGTGGTGTTGTCCTACCCAGGGGCATTGACTCCTAGGGGCCAAACACTTTTGGGCCCTCTTAATATTCACACACGCCCCCCCCCCCCGCCAATGTTAAAAAAAATCTTGTGTCGGGTTGGTGGAGCCTGGAATGCAGCAGCAGCAGCAGCAATGTGCATCCTCCTCCTCCTCCTCTTGCTAGAGCAGGAAACAGGCACCAACTGGTGGCGGCGGCCGGAGGAGGAGGAAGAGGAGCTGCATGGTGCCACATCCAGATGTCATCACAGGCAGGACATCATACGCACAACACCAGCCCCCCAATCACACTCCCAAGTCAGCGCCTCTGCTCCTACCTGCAGGCCCCTCTGTGGGGAGGCAGAAGGATGTCATCTGGGTTTCTAGAGGTTGCCATGTTGACACAGGTGGCGGCCTGAGGTCTGACAAGCAGTTCCCTCTTGTGCCACAGAAGATACCATAATTCTTCTCTTTGGATCTGCCACCTGCACATGTTCTGTTGCTAGAGCTCACCTGGGTAAGCAGGTCCCATCACCAGGCCATCTCTCTCTCGCACACCCCAGCCCACAGACAACTCTCTAGTGGCAGGGGGCTCCATAGTCTTGCTAATCACAGCACTGATTCAGCCACACAGAAGCAGCATTTGGTGCAACCTTTCCTGAACTGTGTTGTGTCATTATGCAGGCAGGGGAGCAGCAACATGTACAAACAAAAACAAAGCCCTTCGCGCTGAATGCAGAGGAGGGCCCTCCTCACCAATTTAAATGCTTTGGGTGAATCCTGTTAAGGACTTTCCCATGCCTTCCCCTCCCCGCAACTTAGGGCCTGATGTCTGTCTTTCCTGGTGCAAGGGCGCTTGTCTCCTGATCATGTGCATTTCAAAGAGGCCAGCGACAGCTAAAAATACACACCTGCCATGTGCACAGATCAAGAATTGTGGACCACGTGCAAAAAAGAAATCGGCCTTGAGGGAATTCACCTTGTAAAAGCTCCCTGTCTCTCACACCCACTGGTGCCTTGGGCCTCCTGCCTCCAAGTCAGGACTCAGCACCGCAGCCTTGGGAATTGCCAGAAACCTCCAGGGAGCATGATCCAAAGTCTCGCCAGTGTGCATGAAGATGCCAGCGTGGAACTGGGACTGGATCCCGCCAGATCGTGCAGCAGCAGCAGCTCAGTCCACAATCCTGTGCTTTAAGAAGCTCTGGGGAAGCAACCGGGGTGATCCATTTGCCCCCAGATTCCACCACACACGGAGGGGAGACCCTGCCAAGGTGGGGCTGGAGCTAAATCATGGAAAGCAGCCCAGGTGGGGGGGGGGCACAAAGCAAAATTTATTTCTGTCAAGCAGTGGTCTATTTCCCTGATAGCATTTCCTTGTATACAGATAACTCCTTATCTTAAATGACCATGTCTCTTTCAATTTGTACTTAACATTCAGACCCATTTTCCTTATATGATTCTATCACAGTGGGATGAAAAATACATTACTATAATCCCCCAGGATCTTCATATATCAATAACAAATGGTCTGGAATTGACCCAATCTAAAAAGCAGCCTTTCAAGTGGGGGCTGGGGGGAGCCAGCAATAGGAATCCTGGCCACTGTTGCCAAGGGGGTCCCCGCCCAGCCCTCCTCAAATGGCAAGTCCACAGGGGCGGTGCTGCAGCCACAAGACACATGTGGTGACAGGTCAGGGCTGCCTCCCAGGTGTGGCCAGACAGGACACCCCCCCCAGGGTTTCCCCCCAAAATCATTCAGCGCCTTTGGACTGGGCTCTAGGACTGTCAATAGAAACATGCAACTTCTTTCCTGCCTATGCCTCTGCCTTTCCTCATGACACAACTTGTTTCTTTCCTGTTGTTCCCTTTCTTCCTAGTTTGCACCTTTAAAAAGCCATCTTTCTCCTGCCCCGGCTTCCTTTCCTCAGATTCAGTCCAGCCCTCGTGTAAAGCAGCCTAGGACTGAGGCCTGGAGGAGAACGGCTGCTCCTGACCCAGACCTCTCCTTCTCCTTGCATGGAGGGGGTTTTCATTTGGGTGCAATTCCAGTCAAAGGGTGGTGGTGTGCTCCCCCCCGCCCTGTCCCCATCTGTGGAAACTGACCTGCAGGCATCGGAAACATGGAAATTCTTAAAACAAATAGCCTAAATAGCTCCTGACTCTGCCAGGTGTGGAAAAGTGGACAAAAGGGAGTATGAAAAGTGAATTGTTTTAGAAAAACATGCATAGCCACTGAGTGGGCCCAGAAGGAGGAGGGGAGGGCAAGGCTCAGGACTAGGGGGGCAGGAAATGCAATTCAGGACACTTTTAAAGCTGAACCTATCAATGTGGACTTTCTGAAACAAAATGTGAACTGAAATGGAAATTCATATTTGACCAAATCTTGCAATGTGGTTTTCCCACCAAACTATGCTTACAGAAATGCATATATTGCGAAGTATGCATAAAAACCAATATATTAGTGGGGGACGGGAACAAAAAGGGAGGGGATTGCTTTGAAGAAATGTGTAGATTAATCAAAACTGCATACAATAATGTGTTTACTCAGAGAAATTTGCACTAAAAGGCTGGTGAATTTTCATGATGATTATTTTTTTTTTAATTGTAAATTACTGCCAAATGTAGAGAACTGAATTTAAGAGAGGAAAAATGAGAAAATGGAAACTGACAGATCCTTCCATTGCTTCTCAGGAGGACACAAGGTTAGTGCAGGGAAAAATTTAACAGACAGTTGTCTTTGGGACTCTTATTTATGTAGTTATTTGTTTAAAACATGGGTAGGCAAACTAAGGCCCAGGGGCCAGATCCGGCCCAATCGCCTTCTCAATCTGGCCCGTGGTAGTAGAATGTGTGTGTTTATTTAAAATGCATCTCTGGGTTATTTGTGGGGCATAGGAATTCGTGTCCCCCCCCCCATATAGTCTGGCCTCCCACAAGGTCTGAGGGACAGTGAACCGGCCCCCTGCTGAAAAAGTTTGCTGACCCCTGTTTTAAAACATTCTCTGCCCCACCTTTCAACCAGGCAGCTAACAATAAAACAAAACCAGAAATGATCATTTTGAGGCATCTATTTCAACACAACACACACACAAAAACCCATGTATTCATTTATTTAAAAGGTGGTCCCAGGATGGGCTTCAGCAATTGTATCCACAAAACCAGCGAAAACCTTCCAACCAAACCCAAAAGAATATAAATTCAACAAGCCAAAATGCCCCAACACTCAAAGGCCAGGGGGCTCAGGGACCCCTGTGGGGAGGGAGGGTGTTGCACAATTTAGGGGCTGCCACAGGGAAAAGGCTGCCATCCCACCCGCACAACTAGCAAGGGGGCATCGAAGTGGACACACTCAAATGGATACCCAAGTTTTGCTTGCAAAAAAGCAAGTCCCTCTAGGCCTTTTGACAAGCATATTGTGTAAGGTTATTTTTCTAGTTATGCCTTTATAGGCAGCAGTTTGATCATTTGTGCTCATTTTAGCATCTGCAGCAGCTTCTTCATTGGATTCTTTTAATTGCTGAAAGCTCCCTTGAGGGCAGACAGAGGCAGAGCAGGGCAGGGGTGCCAAGATCTTAAAAGTGAGAAATAAAAACAGATGAGTTTGGTTGCTGCCTTCTTCTCTTTCCAGCAAAGATATGTGTAGCTTTGTCGTGAGTACCTAGCGCCTAGGCCCATTTCCCTGCTTAGAACAATGGTCACTGAGTCTGTGGCGCTTGCCGTGGCCTGAAACGCAGAGGGGCCAGCGCCATGTCCTGCTCAGGGTCTCTTCTCAGAAATGCAGCAAAAGCGCACGGCTTGAGCTTTATCAGTCAGAGGAGGACCCTGGGGTGGGCAGGGGCAGAGCCAGGGGGAGCAGGAGGGCATCTGCTTCTCAAATCAGGTAAATCAATAAAAATGCTTAACTGAGGTTCTGCCCCCCCCCCAACATTAAGCCTGCTCTCCTAATAGGGTAGCCATGTGTCTGGATTTTCCTGGACACATAAGGAACACTGCAGTTGGCAGCAGGGTATGAATGTCCAGGGAAATCCAGACATATGGCAGCCCACGCCAGCAGTGCCATTTTCCCATAAAAAATACCTCAAAAACTACTTTTTTGTGATTTTGCCCAAAAAGCTCAACAACTTTTCTGTCTGGATTTTCACTGTTTGAAACATGGCAACCCTACACTAACACATGAGCCACATTTGAGCCAATGGGGGGGGGGAGTTAGAGGTTTTACACCCAGAACCGTGTCTCATCCTGCAGGCAAAGAGGAGGCAGAGTCAGTCCAGCCACATCCAGCCCCCAGGCCTGGGGTTCCTCACCTCTTACAGGAAGCCTGTTTAAACCCCAGAAAACACATTCAGGTATCTGAAGGGCTCTCACAAACAAGCTTGAGGGTAGGACCTGAATCAGTGGATCCCCGTGTCAAGAACGGAGATTCTGACTGATCATCAGGAAGAACCTATTGACAGTAAGGGCTGGTCAATAGTGGAACGATCTTCCTTGGAAGGTGCTGGACTCTCCTTCCTTCGAGGTTTTGAAGCAGAGGTTGGAGGGCCACCAGTCAGGGATTATCTAGCCACGATTCCTGCACTTCAGAGGGTTGGACTAGACAACCCTCTTCAATTCTATGAGCCACCTTTGGTATCTCCAAGCCTCCTTTTTCCCCTTTAGGGGCTCTCCTTGCTCTGTTCATCTAGGTTCTCTCTCACAAGCACCTTGTGAGAAGAAAGGGAAATGGCTTTGAGACTTCTCTCTCTCTCTTTGCAAAACTAGAGACTCCACATTTTGTTTTGTCTTTGGGTACAATTGTTTGTGCCACATGAGAAGGGCCAAGAGCAGGGGTCGGCAAATTTTTTTAGCAGCAGGCTGGTCCACTGTCCCTCAGACCTTGTGGCGGGCCGGAGAAGTGGCATGGGGGGGGGAGCTGGGAAAAGAGGCGGGGGGGGGGGCAGAGCGAGCTTGTCTGCTCCACTCTCTGGCCCACAGGAGCACCAGGGTGGTGGCGTCAGCGGGAAGATGAGTGGCACGAAAGGGCTGGCTCCAGAGAGGGGCTGCCAAAAATGGCGCTCAGCCAGCTCAGCCCAGCCCCCTTCCTCCTCTAGGCAGGGCAGGGAGAAGCCTGGAGGAGGGAGGGAGGAGGTGCCACTGAGGTGTGTGGGAGAGAGGGGGGGAAATGGAATGGTGCATCAAAAAATGGTGCAGCCTGAATGAACAGAATCCCCACGCCGATCCATGGACAGTCCGCAGGCTGGATCCTGAAGGCAATTGGGCCTGATCCGGCCCTTAGATTGCTGACCCCTGGCCAAGAGTGACCACTTTGGCCTTGGAAATCCAGAGCAGGGGGCCCTTGAACCCCTGGCGCTCTTCCTCCTCTCCCGCAAGCCTTGAGAGCAAAAGCTGCCTCCCCACTTGGCTTGCACTGCTGGCTGAAAGGGTTAAAAAGCATTAGCCTAAAAGAGCTTTCAACAAGTATGAAAAGGGGGGGCGAGGGCGAGGATGGTTGTAAATTCCACCTGGGGAATTTCACCATGAATACACTTCACCTTTTGCAGAGTCTCCCGCCCTGCCTCAGAGGATAACTGACCTTTGGAGAAAAATAATGAAAAGAAGAAATTCCTTGGAGAAAATCTTGTGGCCGGGCCGCGGTAATGAGATCTGCTCCCTTTATGTTTCCATGGCAACAACAGTCATTTTATAATATGAAATACATGAATGGGAAGAAAGAGGCCTCCTCCTCTTGCCGGAGTGAGCCGGGTGACAGGGCCGCATCCAGCTGCCCCAAAGGGCAAAAACCAGTCTGGGGTGGGAAGGGGGGAGCCCTGCCCCTTTTGTCCTCTCCAGTCGCAGGATTCTGGTGGGAGGGGGCAGTGATGAGAATGCAGAGCCCTCCCCATTCCTCCCAGGTCTTCCTTCACAGGCCAGAGGTCAGCCTCACAGTGGGGAAGGAATTTGGAGTGGACTTTGGATTTTGACCCCGAATCTGATCCTTGTAGTTGTTCTGCTTGTTTTCAGGCAAACACCTCCTCCCCTCCCTTGGATGGGTAGGTGCTTGTCCATGAGCAAGGCTCCAGTTGTGCCCGTTGGTTACGCACCAGGGTCACGATCCTGTGATTCTACTGCTTGGTGCTAAATTGGGCTTAGCATAATTCAGTCTCTAAGGGGGGGAGGTGTTGGTTACCTGGAAAGGCTCTGCATGAATCATGCGGCAAACCAGCCTTAATGGGGGTGTTGCTTTTCAAGAAGCAAAGTGGCAAATAAGAAGGGGGGGGGGTTTCAAAGCAACAACATGTTGCCCTTTGGCTGGTGGGAAATGAGGCAACCTGCCAGAGAGAGACAGAAATGAGTGGAGACTTCTGGCTTCCCCATGCCCAGAGAGGAAAGCCTGCCATTTTTATTGTACTCACCCCAAGACTTTCTTGAAGAGACCCCAACCTTTGGCTTCTTTCTTCTGAAAAGCACAAACTGGTCAAGATAGGCAGCTCTCCCTTCCCCCCTCCTCCAAGACCCAAACCTGAAGAAGATATCTGTGTCACCCCAAGGTTGACCCCCGGAATTTCCAAAAGTAAGAGAGAGGGGGACTTTTGCTAGCTCTTCATGCATTTCAGGAGACATGGCAACGTTCCAGGAAGGCAGGCGTGGAGGAGACGCTTTACCGCCCCACGTGGAGAAGGAATTCACCCTGTCGCAAAACCTGCTATGTGGCCCCAACTCCAGTGGCTTTTGGATGCAGATGCTGGGAGCTTTGCAGGGCAGCTGGGTGCTCAACCTCTGGAGGGTTGTGCTGCCAAGATGGAGCAACAGCAACAGCAGGGAACACCATCCTGACCGGTGCTGAGCAGACTTGCCCAGAACAGAATTGCAGCCCTAGGAAGAGGCGGAGAGGAGGACCAAAATGGGCAGGGACTGAGGGCAGCCTCTCCCCAGTTGCCTCATCAATTAACTTTGGGTCAAATTAGAAGGGTGGAGAAATGAGCTGTAAAGAGAGGCTTTGGGAGCGCAGGGCTGTAATAAGAAGCAGTATTGATTACCACCACCAAGGCTTTATAAATCATTCATGGTCTCTATCAATCTCCCCAGCTGAGTTCCCCAAAGCTGTTTGCTGTGGAGGAGGAATTAAAATTAAAATGTTGAGCCCAGCAATGGCAGGCAAGGTTCTGATGACCCGTCTCTGGCTCCAGGCATCATCCTAGCACAGCATCAAGCTGTCCCTGGCCCAAGCATATCCGGATCTCACAGGGGTCTAAGGAAGGGATCCTGGCCATGCCTTCCAGGGCCCCCTGGCAAATGTGTGTGAAGGCACTGGTGAGACGGACAAGCAAGGGCAGCTGTGCCTGGGGTGGGCAGGTGGGCAAGGAGGAATCCTGTGGGGTTTGGTAGAGCCCAGCCAAGGCGTGTGCCTCTTGCCTCCTTCTCAGCCAGCTGGAGGGCACCATGAGAAGGATGCAACAGCCCGTGGCGCCCTCCCTGCAAGTAGTGCCACTTGCAAAAGCAGCACTGGGTTTGCAGGGGCCAGGACACACCCCTCTTGCATCCTTCTCATGATGCCCTCCAGCTGGAGGGCGCTGAGAAGGATGCAAGAACTCATGACGGGTTAGGGCGCCATGATGCTCCCCCACCCAAATACTGTGCCCAAGGCAATGCCTGTGGGTGGGTGGGTAGGTGCAAAAATGGAGTTCTGTTTATCCTGAAAATAAAATACCAATTGAAGGAAACGGTGAAGCTGGCATACAAAGCCCTTCCTATAATTTTGAAAGAAAATGTCACCAATCCAATTTAAATACTGTCATTGCATTGCTTCAGCAGCCAGCCATTTTGTAGGAAACACATGGAGTATTGATTCCTTTATTGTAAATGGAGTCTTACACTGTTTACTCAGAAGTAAGTCCCACTGTATTCAATGGAGCTTAAAGGGTAAAGGGACCCCTGACCATTAGGTCCTGTCATGGCCGACTCTGGGGTTGCGGCGGTCATCTCTCTTTATTGGCCAAGAGAGCCGGCGTACAGCTTCCAGGTCATGTGCCCAGCATGACTAAGCCACTTCTGGCGAACCAGAGCAGTGCACGGAAATGCTGCTTACCTTCCCTATTTATCTACTCACACTTTCATGTGCTTTCGAACTGCAAGGTTGGCAGGAGCCGGGACCGAGCAACGGGAGCTCATCCAGTTGCGGGGATTCGAACCGCGAACCTTCTGATCGGCAAGCCCGAGGGTAAAGCCTGTGCAGCCTTACACTGCAAACCTAACCATTTTTACTCAGAACTAAGTCCCACTGAGTTCAACAGAATTTTCTCTCTGATATGTGATATGTTCCTGATCATTCTCACAGTTTCTATTATTATTATTATTATTATTATTATTATTATTATTATTATTATTATTATTATATCCTGCCTTTTCCCCTGACACGGACTCAGGGCAGCTTACAGCTAAAATTTATTTTGTTCCATTTATCTGTTGAAAGTGTTGCACATTATCCCTTCCCTCAAACACTTTTTCTTCACAACAATCCTGTGAGGGAGGTTCGGCTGAGAGGTTGCACTTGGCTCAAGATGACCGATGTCGATGTGCAGATGACGCCTATGTGGGGGGAGATCAAACGCGGGAGAAGCATCCTGATATAGAATAGGGTGCCTCTATTTTCCTCTGAGAAATGCGGGAGGGTATGAGAACGTGGGGTGCCCAGAGGGTGCCAAGTCTTCTTTCTGACCTGGTCTGTGGGTCTGTGCCTTCCCGTGCCCCTCTTCTGGCTCTCTGCTCATGCCTGGCATCCAGGCCTCTGCTTTGTTCTTGCCAGCCCCATCTCCTACTTCAGACACTTCAGGCAAGAGGAGATAATGGCTTAATTGCTGTCAATTAGCCCTGCTGCAAATGGCATCTGCCAGAATTCGGCACATGCCCCCCAGCCCCCACCAGAGGCAGTCCCCAAGCTGACATCCTTCCAGGTTAGTTCAGAAATCAACAAGATTTAAATCTCCAGTTCCCGGGATGGGGGCAGCAGCCGGAATGTTGCCAACTAATTTGTATAGAACTAACACCCTTAATTAATAGCAAACTAATTAGAGGCTATTGACTCAAAGGCAAGTGACACCGCTCATTTCTTCATGAAAAGGGGGTCAGAGGAATGCGGCTGCACAGGCTGGGCAAAGAAGTGCGGGAGCCCACGTCTCAGAAGGTGGGGGGGGGCAGAGAAAGGGAGGCTGCCCCGTCAGGAAATAAAGAATGGGTCTGCTCAGCACACAGCCATGCGTTCTCTCTCACACACACTTGCGCTCCCTGCAGAGAGCTCTCCAGGAACAATTATTCTTAAAAATTGATATCCTGCGTGGCAGCCGTGCAAATAGCACTCACGAGCCCCATCTCCCTCACGCCCTTTTGGCTCCTCCTCTTGCCCCCCCCCCCGTTTTTCCACCCAGGACTGCCACCCCTCAAGGAGACCCACTGGGGAAGGGGAGGCTGTGCCCCATGCCAGCTCTGAGCATGGCAGCAATGGCCAGATCCTGGTCACAAGAGGCCAGGCTGAGAACCATGTTCTATGGATTTCCAAAGGATTCCCCAAGGCAAGAAGAACTGTGATGCTAAGTACTGTACAGTATGTGACAGAATAGGGCCCAGACCGGGGTGGGGGGGGCGCTTGCTGTGGCTTAATGGTCTCTATTATGGGGTCGCTTTATTGTTTTCCATTTAATGTTTACTTCTGCACTGGGGCTGCCTGTTGTTGGTTTGAACGTATTTACCACCCAGAGTGTTCCGGCAGACGGGTGGGATAGAAATGGCAGAAATAAATATCCCGTATCTCCCAGGGTGAACAGTGTCAACTTGTTCTGGGGCTCATTAAAATTCCCTGCCACTCTGGGCCTTTCCCACAGAGCCGTGGCACAAAGGCTCCTGTGCCCCCCAGGTCCCCTGAGGGAGGAGGGCCACCCAGAGTTTGCTGGGGGGGGGAGAGCCAGGGGGGACCTGCATCTCCCCCAAAGGGGCTCCGTGAGGGTTAAGCCCAAACATCCATCCTCATGCCCAACTGGCTGTGGGTGGGGGAGGCTCCATTTGTTTCTTTACATATAGAACGGGGGGGGGGGTGCAGCCCTCTCGCCTTTCTGTTTTCTTCACCCCAAAATCTGTGTGCAGGTGGGGCAGGGACATCAACTTCCCCTCCCTGCACTTCATCTCTTTGCTTCAGGCCCATTTTGCTGAATGAAAAGATAACAGGGCAACTGACTTTCGGGTTTGGTAGGTGTGCGTCAGTAAACGAGGGGAATTAAGACTAAGAGAGCTGGGGGGGGGGCTCGTGTAATCTCACTGTATACAAGTTGTACAAGTGACAATAAAGTATTTCAATTTCTCCCTGTTGAAGACATCTCCATTTTCACGGGGGGAATGGTAGAGGGCATGCTATGGGGAATTGCATGGGGTGAGGCCTGGAGCGGTTCTCAACCCCTCGCTGTACCCCCAGTGGGGTACGGTTGACCATGAGTTGTGCCGGGTGAGGGGTGGGTTGACCATGGTGCCCCCCTGCCAGGCCATCCTTCCTTCGGCCCAGGGGGAGCCATCCATGCTGCCTGAGGCTCTCCAAGGACATCTGCTGGGAATCTGGCTAGTCTTGTGAAGTTCAGTGCCCGGCTGGCCTTCCGCTCAGGGCCCCTAAAAGCAGCAAACAGTCTAGTGCTAGCTGCAGAAATGCTCCCTGAGAGGGAGAGAGGGAGACGAGAAGCACCAGTCGCAGTCAGATGCACTTTGAAACTGCTTGCTAGGGAGCCAGGCGGTTGTTTAGAGATGTTTGGGGATTTGGCCAGGAAATAAAGTTGCTACAACAAGCCCTTATCACTGGAAACAACAGCCGTGCAGAGATGTCCCGGAAGGCCACTTCCAAAGGAGGCTCTCTCAAGCAGCCCAGCCAAGCGGGTGTTGGAGGAGGACGAGGAAGAGAACTTTGCTCCCTCCCTCCCTCCCTCCCTCCCTCCACACACACCCCAGCTGCCTGCGTGGCTTGGAGGGGGCTCCTTCCCACCAGAGAAGAATTATTTGGGGTTTCACACAGTTGAAACAAATCCTGCTTTCACTCCTTGAATTCCTCCTTCTCCCCTCTCAGCCTGCTGGTGAACAACGCTGCATGCATCTCTCTTGCCAAGGAGGCTGAGGCGATGAGGCAACTCTTTCCATCCACCTCACTGCAAAAAAGCCCTTTTACAGCTTCCAGAAAATGGAGCCTCGCCAGACCGAAGCAGAGCAGTTGTCAAGCTCCCCGACCCTCCCTGAGCAGCAAGCAGGGCCCAGTTGATGAGGGCAGGTCCTCCTCTCCCTCTCTCCCTCCAGCTCCACTTCCACTCTTGCTCTCACCACTCTGGCTGTGCCCCCTCCCCCCGCTCATGGTGGCAGCTGGGGCCACTTTCTCTGGAGCAGCAAACTTTCCTTCCCCCTCACTTCAGTTGCAGAAACCAAGTTGAGGCCTCTGCAAGAGACGCTGGACTTGGCTTCGTCTGCTCCATCACCCTGGCACATGCTTTGGGGGAGAGGTCAGGAGCAAAAGCTGGCTTCCCCTGTTCACCTTTGGTCTGCCAGTCATCTTATTCCTCATGTATGGCCACTGATTTATTTTTGCACCACTCCACTCTGCTTGCAGAAAGGACACAAATTTGCATCTGACACAAAGCATATGCATTTTGTGTGTGCAAATTGTGTCATTTATTGTGTGCAGGTTGAAGAGCCCAATCCACATACTGTGCACTGGACTGTCCTGGCTCTCCCTCATGCCCACGCCTCAAAAAAAGAAACAAGCAGGGGCACTTTCTTGGAAATAAGAAATAGATCTTTATTCCAGGAAATAATGATACAGGCTCAGCAGTAGACACAAGGATCAGGAGTCACGGTTCAGGACTTAAAGTGCCGTATGAGAAATTCAGGCAGACGAGCAGTGGTGGTGCACCTTGCGGTAATGTCAGGATTGTAAAGGCACACAGCATTGGAGTGGGGGGGGGGGCTGCTCCCATCTGTAGAGATGTTGCCTGGTTCTAGGTGACAAGACAGCACCTCTGTGTTCTACCATTGCCTCCTCCCTGTGCTCAGCAGCTCCAAGTCCTCCCTGTGGTGGGACTGGCATCCCTGCTCCCTCTTCCCAAGTGATGGAAGTCAGGGTGGAAAGGAGAGACCTCCCTCCTCCAACTCAGATCCCCAACCTTCAGGCCCACCCCTATTTTGTGGGAATGTTCTGGGGTGCAGGAGAGGATATATTGACTAATTATATCCTTATCCAACTTGTGCTAACAAGTTCCCAAAATATCAGCAGAGTTTATAAACATTCCCCTTTAAGTTCGCAACAGTAACATGTGCACAGGTTCGCTAGAACCTCTATAATAATTACTCTGGTAATTTCCCCTTTTGTTCCCTCTAAAATAAAAGTATAAAAGAGTTTACTCACGTTCTGTTCACAATATGATCCCAGAAGGCAGACAGCTTAAAAAGGTTACATACATTCAGAATCTATCTTGTAGCAAGATAGTCCTTATCTCCTCTCTTGGCTGGGAGCCAAGAGAGCATCCTTAGATGTTTCCTCATCGAAAGAAGATGGCAGAGAGAGAGAGTGGCTGCCTGCCCTGTGCTTTTGTCATTACCTGCACAGGTGAGGCCACACCCACCTCTGGTCACATGCGGAGGAAGTCCGTCCCCAGGAAGTTTACCTGCTTGCTAGACAGACATCCCTCCCCATGTTCTAACATGTACACTCTAGGAATGTTGTCATTGACTGCTCCTGTGTTTACATCCCACATATTTCTGCCCCCTCCCATGCCAGGGTGCTGGCCCAAGCTTGATCCCAACCTCACTATGGGGCTCATGACATGGGCCAGAGTGCTGCTGCGTTCATATCCAGCTTGCTGGCTTCTCCTTGGCATCTGCTTGGCCACTATGAGAACAGGATGCTGCCCCAGGTGCCCATTGGCCTGATTGAGCACCCAGGCTTTTTTTATGCAATGGAATTGGCATTGTGCACTGAAATGTGCCTTCCACAAGTGAGTGTCTGAGAGGCTAGAGCTAATGCTAAGAGTCTTGCAGCACTGCAGTCCAGTGTTAGATTTATCCTCTGCCTTTGTTAGACAAGCTGCTCATGCACTGCAGGGGCTGGACTAGATGACCCTCAGGGTCCCTTCCAGCTCTACAATTCTATAATTGTATACTTCTATGCCAGTAACCTGTCCACAGGCTGTTGCATCCAGTGAGGAACAGGGCTTCGGGTCACACCATTCATGCACCATTGTGTGTGTGTGTGTGTGTGTGTGTGTGTGCGCGCGCGCGCGCGCGCGTGCACGCTAAACTCAACAAGGGGCCTTCACGGATTCACTGTTGGCAGAGCAGAAATGCGTCGCCTTGGAGGCAGAAGTCCCGTCTGTGGGATCAGCCCCCCCCCCCCGACCCTGCAGCAGGAAACAAGAGGGAACCTACTTTAATGAGATTTGAAAGCGGCAAGATCCTTGCCTTGGTGCCGGCGATTCGTGAACTGGTCTGCTGGGTGGGAAATAAGCAGCCTTGTCACAGGCAATTGTCTTTTGACCAATTCAGATGTCAGAAAAGAGCTGGCGGATGCGAATCCTCGCTGTTTACAGCTCTGTGCTCTAAACGTGCCCCTGCGCCTGTCCAGAGCCAAATTACCATCGGTTGCCAAGGAGAAAATGGAGAGGCCTCGTCTTCTGCTGGCCTAGTTGCACTGCAGCGCAGTTGCGAGCCAAGGAGGGCAGGGTCCCTCCTCTTCTCCAGAAGCAGCCCCCACCCTTGGTCTGAGGATCAGCCTTGGGCCTGTGGGCAGTGGCAGGCCTCACTTAGCCCCCAACATGTGTGGAAGGATTCTCTTGAGTTATGGGAAGGTCTAGGCTGGCTGCGCAGGATCGTTTTCCTCTTGAGGAGAAGGCCTTGGAGACGTTCGGTGTTTTTGTAGTAATCTGCAGGTGTACCAGCTGAGGAGGCTGTGGCGGCCGGTGGACAGGAAGGGCTGGATCCTGCAGCAGCAGCAGCTCGGCCCGCGCCCTCCAAGTCCCAAAGTCAGATCCCAGATGTCCAGGCCAAGGGCACTAGCCTCCTCCACCCCTCATAGTCCATGGTTTCCCTCCCAGGAAGATTGGCACACAGGGATCTGTGTCTTCGTGTTCCTTGCTGCATCCGATCAGCATCCATTGCCCTCTTCAGTTTAACAGGGGGCGACATGTGCAGGACAGAAGGAAACGGGAAGGTGATAGGCCCATGGATGTGGGTGCAGCCTTCCAGAACCCCCCGAGGTTCCTTGGGCACAGAACGATTCTATGGTTCTATCCCATTTCTGATACCACACAACTGTCTCGTGGGTTCAGGAGTCATGCAAACTTGGGTCAGGCAGCTTCTCCTGAGATCAGGCACACACAGGACAGTCTGAGCAGAATAGTAGCCTTTGCTCCACAACAACACAACCTGGAGCAGGGTGATGAACCCCAGGAGGCCTTCCAGATGTGGCTGGACTCCCCCTCCATCCCTGACCATTGGCCATGCTGGGGCCACTGGGAGCTGGAGTCTAACCATAGCTGGAGACAGTCCCCAGGTTCCACCACTGCAGGCCAGGAGACCCAAACACTGGGGAAGAGACATGCCCAGAGAGGGTGGAGGCAATATGCTCACATATATCAAGACAGCCCCATGGTCAGAAGGGCCTTACAGACAAGGCATTGTCTCAGACAATATGTGGGAAGAATCTTTCCCAGATTCCTGCAGCCATCATTGGCCTCTATGTATCAGAGCTTTCAGGGCAGAGAAGGGGGTCTTCAGTGCCCCCTTCTTGCCTTTAGCCAAAGCCTGGCAGATGCATAATGGAGCCAGTGATGCTCTTCCTATCATGAGAGTCCATGGTGGGGGAGATGGTCACCTCCTTGGTTTGTCCAGTTGTTGCAAGAGGTACAGAAGCGGCAGACGTTTTAAGAGATGGTGACCCTGTTCTGGGCTGGGCTAGGAGAGTTCCCAGCCTCCCTCCGGCCAGGGTCACCACTCTGACCACTTCTCTGCAGGGGGGCCAACTCCCAATGTTACTTCTGGCTCCCCCTTGCCCCTGCACAAACATTTGGGCCAGCCATGATTTGTAAAGCTCTGGCTTGTCAGTTCAGCTCCAGAGTAAATAAACTTTCCCCTGAAAGGAGAAGAATTGAATGCAAGAGCTGCCAGCACTGAGAATGGCTCTGTCGGAAGACGTTAGGCCTGCAGCTCGGCCCCGGTGACAGTGGCAGGCAAGCGAGAAATGGGCCTGCCGGCGCACGTTTGACGGAGAGGGATGCATCGGCTAAGTGTTTCCAGCAGCGTGCCGGGAAATCGAGCGCCTCTGCTCCAGCGAGGGCTGGAGAGCAAGCAGAGAGAGGGGGCAGTGGAGAGAGAGAGAGAGAGAGACCTACCCCAGAGCATTTTCCAGGAGCAGCAGGAAAGGATAAGCGCCCAAGATGTGCCCCCTGCTTCCTGGGTGCCTGGAATTAGCACCCCCGCAGAGGCTGGAAGCAGAAGCCACTGCTTAGCCCGCCTTGGGAAGGAGGCCTGTGGAGGACGTGCTCTGGCATGGTGGCTAAATGGTTTTGACAAGCTGGCTCTCACAAGCCCTGTGCCACAGAGGCAGCCAGGTCTGCAGCTGCGAGGGCCCGGCTCCAGAAGGGGACTGTTTCCTCTACCCCATCTCTGCCTCATCTAAAAATGAGCTCCAGTCCAGTCTGGGAGGGGCTTTCACTTCCTGCTTGGTGGTTGTTTGCAGGGCACATAGTCACCCCCACCACAATATCTAAGGGGAAGAATTTTTGCAGGTTTCTGTAGTGCTTCAAAAACCTGCAAAGCCTCCTATGACCAAAAATGACAATGGGACTAAATCCAAAGGCTGCCTGTGCCCTCCAGAGAATTGTGCACTGCCCATCAGTATTTGCAGTGGCCTATGGCTGCTTTGCAAGGATCCTGTGCCAGGAGTGGCTTGGATTTTGCTGTGCAAAACCCTGATGCAAGACCCAAGCACAAGAGCTGTGGTTCCCCTCCTGTGGTTTGCAGCACTGGTCTTCAGAAGTGTTGCTGTCTCCACCACGGAGGCAGAGCAGAGCCATCCTGGCCAGTTACTGCCTTGCAAAGCCTTCTCCTCCCTGAGTTTGTCTCAGCCTCTTTTAAAGGTCCTCACAGCCTCTTGTGTGGCTGACTGAGTTCCCTAGTTTAACTCTGCACTGACTTCCTTTCTCTGTCCTGAATCTTCCAGCATTCGGCTTCATTGGTTGTCCACAAGTTCTAGTGTCATGAGAGAGGCAGGGAAACTTTTCTCTCTCCACTTTCTCCGTCCGTTCCATAAATCCCCTTTTACTCATCTTTTCTCAGTGGGGAACACAGCATGAAAGAATTGCATCTTAGTTGCCCCTTAGACTGCAACCCTATGCAAACTTACCTGAGAGGACATCCTATTGAACGGAATAGGAATGATTTCTAAGTAAACATGTATGGGATGGATACATGGATAGGAACTGATTCTTCCATTCCTGCTCTCTGTGGAGCAGGTGGGCTTTAATTACCCGGTTCCTCATTATTATTTTCATTTTTATTATGGAACAATTCTATTCTGCTATTGAAAAAGGAAAGGAAAACAAGTTAGAGGGAACCAGACTTTAAACGTTAAAGGGTGATTAATCAATCATGTCCATGCTAAACTAGCACAAGTGTTCTTGGCGCACAGAGCAAAGCAATCCATCCCTGCATTGCGCAACCGCACCTGGACAACCTGTGCTGCAGGTGACAGGATCCATCCTCAACCCCTGTCTTGAGAGCGTCCAATAGAGCACAGAGCTTTTGGTTAAGAGTTTGATCCTTTTCTACAGAAAAGTACATCAGCCTCAGCACCAACACATCCCTTTGAGCCTTTTTGTAGAAATGATGGCCAGCTGGCCATCCAGCCATCAGCCACCCTCACCCTCCAGAAGTTGCCTTATGGAGAAGCAGCCAGAATGGAGGGCAGGCCTGCCTTCATTGGGGCAGGGGGTATCCCAGCAACCAGTGCAATCGCTTGCCTTATTGTCAGCAACTGGGGCAGGAGATGTCTGTCCTTTTAATTCCTGAGAAGCCTGCTTCCAAACAGTCCCAACCCCCTTCCTTACCCCAGCCCAGAAGAGAGGCACGGCCTCAGCATCTGATGCCAGCAAAATGCCAAATTTCATGTTTTGCAAAAGAGGGGGTTCCTCCCTGGTTTCTTGCCCTCTCTCTGTGGGGAGGCACATCCCCATAGGGCCATGGAGACAGGCAGGTGATCCCGTCAATGCAGCAAGCAATATGGGAAGCCCTGCCCAACAGCCATAGCTCAGCGACAGAGCATGCGCTTAGCACAAAACCTGTGCTTCCAGAGCTGCCCCAACCACTTCCAGAGGGAGGGGAGCCTGCTGAGCCTCTGCTGCTGCTGCTTCCCTGGGGAAGAGCTGGTGGCCAGTTGCCTCTCCTCCT